TTACTACAATTGAATCAAATCTAATCTTATACAGGCTTCAGTGATTTAATACATTTGCTTTTGTTTCAGTTAGTTGTTTAGCTAAATCAGAGGCATCACTGAACAAGATAAAACAACTACAGTATACTGTCCCAGGTTATAAAATTCACTTTGTTTTTGGGGCAAACATTAAATTAAATTAAAGCATGTAAACATGTCAGAGTAGAGGCACAAAATACAAGTTTGAACCTTAAAGCTCCCATGTCATGCTTTTCCGGTTATTACCCGTCCCCTTGTGTGTTATGTAGCTTTTTATGCATGTAAACGGTCTGCAGAGTCAAAACCCCTCAAAGTACACCCTGTAGCGAGTAAAACTCTAACACAGAAAAGACCTGTCTGTGCTGCCCCAGAAACGCCTCGTTGGAGATTTCTCATTTTCCATTTCTCATTTTCCATTGTTTCTTCCTGGGTTCTGTGACGTGTGAATACCCAAATCACAACAAATGACCGGATTGGCCCAAATGGACCAATCCGCAGAGCACCTCACACACCAGGATCCCTTGGCTAACTAACAGGGAGTTCCCATTGACTTGCATAGAGCTCCCTGAACGCTGGTAATAGACGAGTTGGGATTGTGGAGAAATGCTCCTCCGCAGACCCATTCTCACAGCGTTATAAACCTTTTTTCTTACTCAATATCAAGCCACACTTATTGTTTTTACTTCGGCTGTGAGTGTTTGTGTGTGCTCAGGATGAGTTTCGCTGTTGTCTCCGCTTGTATCGCCGACCCGGAAACCTGTCCGCTCCTCGTAGCAGCTCGCAGCAGCTCGCAGCAGTGGCGAGCAGCAACGAGCCTCGCAACGTCCCGACCAATCAGAGCAAACTGGGCTCCACAGGGAGGGGGGGGGGCAGGAGCTCCAACAAGCCGTTTAGGACAGAGAGTGAATACCTGGTGAATACACATACTATACAGAGATGCTGTATGAGAATCCAATGTCAGTTTGGAAAATTGCACAATATACATCTATTTAGTATAACCTCAACAGTGGAAATATGATCAGTAGAAATGGCCATGACATGGACCTTTAAAATGACCACGCAGCGAGCTTGTCTTTTTCTTGTACTGTATCTACGTCTTTGTCAGTTTCAAACGTTTTTCTCTCTGTGTGCTTTAAAAAAAACACACCAGAACTTGCTCCAGTTCTCATGATTGCACCTCCTGTCTGCTCAGTAAAAACACTCTGCTGTCATAACAGGAGAGAAGGGCGCTGAGGGAGGGAGACATATATAAGAAAGAAGAGATAGAGAGATCCTAACACAAACACAGCCTCTGTACTCAGAGCTCAATAAAGATGGAGGGACGGCCAACCTCAATGACCGCAGCACAACTCGCTGCTTTCTTCAGCTCAGCAGGAAGTCTTTCAGCTATTATTGCTCGCACATTTCTATGTGCATCTGCCGTCCCAAAATGTGTCATGTCTCTCTTTACTTAATATTATTTTTGGTCAGTGGAAACTTTAAGGATCAGTTTGCTAATATTGCAAGTGTTTTGGACACTAAAGGAAACATCCTCTTACAAATGTTTAACTGGACATATGATGAAAGAAGTCCTTTTAATTAAATAAAAGAAGCATTACAGAAGTGAAGCAGTCTAAATGTTGAATGAAAGTCAAGTATCAGAAGTCAAATTATACTTAATATACCAAACCAGTAACCAAATAAATGTTCTATATTATTGATTATAATTAAGTGTAAGCATTGTGTCAACATAGTAGCTGGTACAAGCACTTGTGGATAGTTGAAAGGGGACCTATCATGCAAAATGCACTTTTGTACGTCTTTTATACATGAATATGTGTCCCCGGTGTTCCAGGGAACTCACCAAGTGTCAGAAAACACAACCCTCTCTATTTTCCTCCATACCCAAATCTCTAAAAAGGGGGCTGCAACGGATCTGATAAAACTGATCCAGATTTGAACACTGTCCTGACGTCAGGACGGTGGCGCTACGGCTATTAGGCCAACTCCACTCAATCAGGAGAGACAGCCACTGCCACGCATTGCCGTGCGAAAGCGCTGGAGACGCTGTAGTAGCAATATGCCAGGCCTGTAGATGGTGCTGTTGCTCACAGAATCTGCTCCTTGCAAAAACAGAGCTAAAAAATTTCAAATTGAGCAAAATGAGGCCATGGCTAAAATGCGTGATCTGTTTGGTATTTTGAAAAAAAAAAGAGTATAAATATGCCTTATATAGGTATGGTCCTACACTATTATTCAAATATAGCATGATAGGTCCACTTTAACCTTTAACAATGCATCATGATGGTTACATGAATAATCTGAATCTGCATAACAACTAAGCTTTGACATTTTATACTGAAGGAGGAAAGTGCAATTGTTGCCTCTATATAAAATAAAGTTGTGCAACTTAACATTGTACTTGACTCAATTCAAACTTCAAAGCTTTAACCAAGTATGGATGATGAGGAATGGCTCACATGAAGTGTGTTAGGGCAGTTTATGTAAATATGTGCATGTGTGTTTACCTCTGAACCTGTGTGTCTGCATCCAATGTTCTCTGTGATTCAACACATGTGCTCTCACAGACACAACAAAGTCAGACAGATTAACCGAGTCATTTATCCGTGAGTGTTTGGCTTGATGAGATTTTTAAACAAAAGCACGGGACTTTTTTTATGGCTCAGTTTTTGTTTGCTGGATCAGGTGCAACCTCTGAGAGAAACCAAACATTCGACATTTTCTGAATGCCTCGTCAGTGATTCAGCGGCCTGGAAAAAGAGGAGAGGGTGTCGCATGTGTAGAAGAATCTTCAAGTGCTGCTTTTAATACTTCATCTGTCTCGTTTCAGTGATTTGGTTCCAACACATTCACATTTTTTCTTTATTATTCTACAGCTAGTTCAAAAACACATGCACTGACACATCAAAACATACAGGGCACTTGGGATAAGACTATTTTGTTGTGAAATATGCATGCTCCACCACTACTATAAGCACACAATTCCCATTTATATTAAAGTAACATCAGTGTAAAGCTCCATGAAGTGTACTGAGTGTATTCATGTTCCTCAGAGGAGCAGTTTGTCAGCGTTGCACAAGATATTACATAACCAGCGTTAGATATACAAAGAACAATGTGCTTCCAAGAGGGATAAATCCATTTTGTTTTAATGATCCCACTGCTCTTAATCTGGCAACACTTTAAGAACAGTTACATTTGCAGCATGTTGTTCTTTCCATCATTTGGTTTCGGGCGCTGTGAAGGACATTGCAGTATCTATCGGCTGCCGTAATCGTTTTTTTGATTTTCCCTCATACAAACACCCTCATTCTCTTCTATTTTTGTGCAGCTGCTGGCTTCCTGCCTCGCCAGTGCTGACCCTTACATTTTAGTGTTTATACTTTAGTTTGCTGAGTGTGCATGCTCTTCCCCTGCAGTGCAACAGAGACACACATTGACCTGTGGAGATCCTGGAGAGAGATGGTTTGCATATCTTTAAATTCAGCTTTTTTTAAGGGAAAGTAACCCACGTACTTTTCCCCTTTCTAACTGTTTGATGTCATTGGTTCCTCCCTCAGGGGTATTAAAATGACATGGCTCATATACTTCAGTCGTCATTGGACCCTGGGGGTTTGTCTTTTGACCAACTACCAGCAGCCAGGTGTTTTCATGGTGGGAATTCAGGTTTTTTTAGTGCCGTGAAAGCATCGCTTAGACGTTTTGGTTTTATACCGTGGGAATATGCAAAAATATAGTAAATTCTCGCGCATGTGAGCCACACTTTTCTGCATGTTTTATTATAACCGGGTGCATCTAAGACAGTCAAGAGCAAATGTGTCACCTGATAGTTGTTGAAAAACGTTTTGAACCTCTCAGTGCTGAAGAAAAAGAGAGGAAAACATGACCCTCTCCTCTTAAAGGGGCCCTATGATGCTGTTTGGGGTTTTCCCTTTACTGTAGTTTTTTAGGTTTTAGTGCATGTAAATAGTCTGTTAAGGCTAAAATTTGAAATGTCCCCCCAGAGGGAGTCTAACGCCTCCATTGGACTCTTTTGTTTACTTCCTTAAAGGGGACCTATCATGCAAAATGCACTTTTGTACGTCTTTTATACATGAATATGTGTCCCCGGTGTTCCAGGGAACTCACCAAGTGTCAGAAAATACAACCCTCTCTATTTTCCTCCATACCCAAATCTTTTAAAAACGGGGCTGCAACGGGCGGATACAGATTCCATCTGACCCGACATCAGCCCGGAATAGTGGGCGGTGACGCTCCGCCTACATGGGCAACGCTCCACCTATCAGGGGAATGAGAGGTTGCCGTGGCATGGTAACAGCATGGTAACAGCATGGTAACATGACGCTCGTGCCTCGCCCCCCTCCTTTGCAGGGCAGCGTGGTCAGCTGCAGCTCATTTGCCACAGAATCAGCCCTTGCAAAAACAGGGCTGGAATACAGCAAAGCGAAATGAGGCATGGCTAAAATGCATGATCTGTTTGGTATTTTGAATAAAAACTTCACAGACATGTTTTATATAGGTATGGCCCTACAATATATTATTCAAATATAGCATGATAGGTCCACTTTAACATAATGACATCACTACTGTATGTGACACTTGCGCTTCTGTTGGCTAGTGCTGGTAAACATTTCACGTGGTAGGCTAAGGGGAGGGACATATAAGCGGTTGACCAATCACAACAGCACCCTCCAGTTAACCAATCAGAGCAGACACTTAAAACAAATATGAACCTGAACATAAAAGGGCCCCTTTAATAAACTGTACTATTCTGTGTGTGTGTGTGTGTGTGTGTGTGTGTGTGTGTGTCAACATCAGGAGTTACTGTACATTGGTTAAGACAAGTCTTATTCAGGTAAAGGCTAAATAGTCACTAACTTGTACAAAGTGAATCTTCTCTCTAACAGTTTTGAGATCATTTCTACTTGTTTCCCCCTGAAGTGTTTACTGACCCTCGGTGTTCCTCCTCTGTTTCCCTGCAGGAGGAGTACCGGGCGGAGGGCATCACCTGGCATCACATCGAGTACATCGACAACAGCGGCTGCCTCAACCTCATCAGCAAGAAACCCACAGCGCTGTTCCACCTGCTGGACGAGGAGTGCAAGTACGCCACCTGCTGAACTAAAGTTTATATTGTAGAAGTGTTGCACTTCTGGTTTGATGATGGCAGGGTTTCCTGGAGTTTAACATGAATAATATTATTTATATTCTCTTAAGATTTTTCATTCATGCATTGTATGCTTACTCCAATTCTAGACACTGCAACAAATATCAGTACTATAAATATATATACAATTTTGTGTGGTTATTAACGGTTACCAATTTGGTTTACTGGATATTATAACAAATGCTGAGTTTTGATAACATTAACTCTGGATATTCAGGGGCCGAGTGAATTAGTTGTATTGACCCTAAGTCCCTTATTTTTAGCCCCACTATCAGGAAATATTTTCAACAACAATTTCAAATGACATTTAGAAGAAGCACCAAACAGGAGAAACATTTAATATTTTTTGGAAGCATTATTTGTGGTTGTTTGGCGTATAAGAAGAGCACCAATGGAAGGGTGTTGGGTGTCAAGGTTAAAGTGTGAAGTGTTTCCCTGTGTTTGGTTCCCATCCCTCGCTCCACTCATTAATAATTCACATCCCTAGCTCGTGTGAGTTATGTGGAGAGAGAAACATATTTCACTGCAGCATGCTCTGTTGATATCACTCTGCAGAAGCAGCTTTTATCCCCTAGCTGGTGATCCGTGGAGACAAAGTGCTCGCTGTGCAGGACTTCTCCTCATTAGCTTGATTGATACCAACACTGGAGCTTCTAGCAGAGCTCAGTGAAAGCATAAAGACATTTTTATTCCTCCGCCAGCATCTCGGGGTCACGTTTTTCTCTTTGTTTCCTGTTGTGAAGCGCTCTCCTCCTGCATCTTCTCCCTCCATAAATCAAACTCAGCGATCCTCCCACCCTCGTCGCATAAAAACACATCAGGCGCTACACACACACACGGCTGTATTTATCTATGTCAGCTGTCGTCTTACTTGCCACTTAGGATAGCTGGTTCATCTGGATCTTATTATGTGGGGAATGGAGGAAAAAATTGTGTGTATAGTTTGTGTATAGAAAAATATGTGTGTGTGTGATAGGGAAGCACTACTGGAGAATTGGGGTCAAAGGGGGATCTCTATAGGCAGGGTCTCTCCTGCGGTTTTTGCTGCCACTGGAAGAAGCTTCATGCTAAATGATTACACAGAGAGAAAGAAAGACGCTTAGAGATCTCATCCTTCACAGTTAGGGGAGGCTGCCGGCCCTCTGGAGACGTGGATTAGGTTACTGCAGCATCCAGGGCGAGAGTGGGGGGTTTATTTCTACTGTAACATCAAGCCGTAAGACCCCCGCGGATATACTTCAGCCAGCAGTGTGTTTCAGATGAGTACTGAGGAAGGTTTATATGATGGGAAACATCCCTTGAGCTATGTTGAGGTTGGTAGTAAATGTAAAATGCCCAAATGTGCAAAATAAATGCTGCAAATGTGGTTAATTGAGCAATAGTAACACATTTGGGACAGATTTGTAATCCCTGAGAGTTAATTAAATCAAATAAGATACAAAACGTATTTTTATAGGCCAATATCACAAAACACATTTGTCTCAGGGGGCTTTACAGTTTGTACAGATCAATGAATGACAGTTTAGAAATAAATACAAATATCACAACGTTGTCAATCTAATTGACAAAATGGATGAACTAAAATACAATGAAAGGGAAATAAATGCTGATTCATAGCTTCCATTTTGTAGAAATACACTGCAAATTCATCAGATACTACAATGACATAAAACAGAGGTTAAAACGATCCCTCTTTCCTCTAGTTTCCCCCAGGCCTCCAATCAGACCCTGCTGGACAAGTTCAAGCGTCAGCATGAAGGAAACAGTTACATCGAGTTCCCCGCTGTCATGGAGTCGGCCTTCATCATCAGCACACTACGCCGGGAAGGTCAAGTACGGAGTCAAGGTGAGACGCCGGCCGTTCACTATGTGGACTCTTCTTTGTACGAGGATTTACATCGTTGCTTTTGCACACCTGATAGCTGTTGTTTGTTATGTATTTATTTCAACACGGACCATGCATACAAACATTAATCTCAGAAAAGAGAAGAGATGAATTATGCCAGATTATAGCTAATAGCTAATTTACATCTGCAGTCATTCCAGTTCCAGTATTGTGAGATATAATAGTGTTTTAATTGTCAACCTGTATTAAATGATCCTTAACATGGCCAAAGCTTCACAGATAACTCTACAGGTCTGTTTAAACCAAGCAGGTTTTGAGTAGTTATCTATGCAGTGTTTCATTTTTTAATCGCATTTTTAAACACATGAGAAGCATGCTGTAATATTAAAATAGCCAAATCAATTACACCGGTCATTGGTTGTTGTTGTTCTTCTTCCTTTGAGTGACTGAACACAGAGTCATTTAAGAACTAGCTGAATATATTTTTTAGAAGATAGACAGAAAAGTGCAGGTGCTAGTCGAGCAGTACCTTAATAACCTTCTTTGTGGGTGTTACATGTCAGGGTATTTGAGAAAGACAGCTTTAAATATCTCACAATGAGGGAAAATATAATGTGGACCCTTAAACAGAAGTGAAGTAGTTGTGGTGCAAATCAAGATGGGGTCTTTTCCCAATACCTAAAATGTTGATTAAAGGAGAACTCGTAAAAAGGTAAAAGCCTAAATTCAGAGCTCTCAACAGATGACGGACGCAAACCTTCTTGTTGTTCGGTTTATTTTTTTCAGCTAAATACATTTCTCTGTTTTGCTTCCCAGCTGCACTGTGATCAGAAACACATGTGCTGGCATGAGGCGAGCGTATTGTTGTGTGACTGTATACTATAAATCCATAACAGTCGGTTATCGTGGCTGTGGAAACGTATCCCACGTATCGCTGAGAGCCAGGAGTTGTTTGGTGTGAAATGTGCAGCGAGAGCCACAGTTGTGAAATGTGTCTGATGTTGGCTCGGTAGTGAAGGAGCAGCTGACTCGAATCATATGGAGGCGGAGAATATGTTGAGGGGTTTACAGTTCATAGCTCTGTTATCATAGCACAGCTTTAGTGAGAGTATTTATTGCTCACAGACACAAGATGCAGAAGAAGATGAGAGAGGCTAGTAAAATGTGTTCCTGCATCGGGTTTATGATGTGAGGCAATGAAAGGTGCACAGAAATAATGACTGATGACTCATTTGTTTTTCTCCGATTGAGACCGAAGTAATAGTTGTAGATTTTGGGAGATATGTTTATTTCGCTCTCTTTTTGTAAGTTAGATAAGAATATCAATACTGCTCTAATGGAGTTCTGTTAAATATGTGACTGGAGCCAGCAGCTGGTTAGCTTAGCTTAGCACAAAGCATGGAACAAGGGGAAACTGCTAGCCTGGCTCTTCCAAAATCTGTGTACCAGCACTTCTAAAGCAAGGGGTTTTTCTTTTTTCAACCACTTGTTAATTAAAAAAAAAATCTGAGGAACATCTTCCCTGATAAATAAGAAAAACAAACATAACATGACAAAAAATAATTAAAAACAACTTGGCTGCGCATATATTGAACAGAGTAGGTGATGAAACCAAATGGATATGGGTTGTGTTTCTTCTGAGGGTGGTTTCCTCATATCTTTTTCCTTTTCTAATAATCATCAAATGATATCCTATTTGTTCCGGACTGAAAAACAAAGGGAAAAAAGCATCAAGTAGCGTTTTACCTATTTACTTTACCCTTCTTGTCATCATATTAAGAGCAGAGACTCTAGGAAGTTACTACAACCACCATCCAAAAAACAAAAAGTCCCCCCTTAAAACGACAAATGTATTGATTTATTTTTGGCATATAAATCAAAGAAGATATAATGTGTTTATATAAGAGCCAGGCTAGATGTTAACTCCTATCTCCAGTCTTTACGCTAAGCTAATAGCTAAGCTTAATTTTTAACAGATATGAGATTTTTAAAGGTCACCTATTATGCAAAATCCACTTCTTCATGTCTCTTCTACATCAACATGTGTCCCTCTGTGGAAAGAGACTCTGAAAGTTTCAGGAAAAGATTGTCTCTTTTTGTCCTGATCCATTTATATAAAACCTGTTGAAAATGAGCTGATCAGATTTTGGCCACTTTATGATGTCATAACGATTGTTTGGCTTGTGTAACCATTAGCCAATCACAACCAAGGTAACCCCCCCCCACCTTATCACCTGAATCTCCTCCTAGAGCACCATTGTGTTCTTCTGAACCAAATATCTCTCAGAGGGGCGTGGGGAGGGGCTCCTTATTTTCATCTAAAGTAACAGACAGAGAATCAGCACTTTTGAAACAGGGCTGAAACAGAGGGGATTATGGGATGCTGCAATGATCTGTTTGGTGTTTGGAGCCAAACACTTCAGAGAATGTTTTGTATATATCTGAGACTCTAATATATTGATGAAAAACAGTATAATAAGGGACCTTTAAATCTTTGAACTCGGTCCTCAGAGGAGTGACTAACTCTGAGTGGATGCACATGTGTCTTTGGTTTCTTCAGGACTTCAGGGAGAAGAACACTGACCACATGCGTCCCGACATCGTGGCTTTGCTCAAGAGCAGCAAGAACGCCTTCATCTGCAGCCTGATGGGAATCGACCCGGTGGCGACCTTCCGCTGGGCCGTGCTGCGGGCGTACTTCAGAGCCATGGTGGCTTTCAGGGAAGCCGGCCGCAGACACACACACAAGAAAACTGGTGAGGAAATACGGGGTTTTGAAAATGAGTTGTGCTTCTGCTGTCGATGATGATGAAGGATGAGGATGAAGAAGAAGATATGTTTTAGTCTTCTTCTGCAGTGTTTATTTTCACAACCTAGGAGGAGTGTATGAAAATATCAACACTGACTTATCCAGAGGAGTGTGTGTCTGTTTTATTTTTCTCTAATTCCTATCTTCTTCGTCCTCCTTATTTTTCTTCTGTTTGTTAGTCCACCTTCTTCCGACTTTCTTTCTCATCAAAATTCTTTAAATAAAAGGTGTCCTTTCATTGTTATGTATTCTTCTATTTAACCTATTCTAAAATGGAGGTGATCGGTGCTAAACATCCACTCTCTTCCCCTTTGTTCCCCCTCTCTCTGTTTCAGGGAACGATGCAGCGGTTCCCTGTGCTGTGGTCAAAACCGTGGACAGCTTCAGTTTCCTCCATCACCCGGTTCACCAGAGGAGCCTCGAGATCCTGCAAAGATGCAAAGACGAGAAATACAGTAAGTTTCCCCAAATATCTCAAAACGCCATATTCTAATGTATCATGATGTTTCCTTCAGCAGGAGGACATTGTTCTCACATGCACTACAGTTATCAGGTCCACCTCAGACTATGCAAGTATATCTGATCATATTAAATGGGTTAATTAAAGGTGGGGTAGGTAATTTTGGAGAAACCAGCTCGAGATCGCTAGAATTTGAAAATACACAACCGGAGAAATCTGCCACTTCCTTATAGAGCCCCTCCTCCAACACACACGAACGCGCACATGACCAATGAGGGCACGAGATAAGTTTGTGCACAGATGGAAGGCTGACAGGCAGGTAGGCCATCCAGTTATTTTAGCCGGGCCGGCTCAGATGATTGATCGTGCTTTTTACAGTACTACGGCTTCCACAGATGACATTTCTTTATGGATTTTTTGTCAAAGCACTTTAGATATTCATTGCTATCGGATGTTAAGAGCATTCCATGGAATATAACAAAAAGTGTATCTCGAGCCGGTTTCTCAAACTTACCTACCCCACCTTTAAGACAGAAAAGACAAATTGTGTCTGCTCTTTTAAAACAATTTTTGTTTTTTATTTTGAAATTGTTACGTTTATTCTGGTTTGTTTTGTGTTTGTATCTTTTATTTAAATGTATTTATTTTATGTTTTGTGAGCTGAGCTGTGTAATTTTATATTTTATTATCTCTCTGTACAGCACTTTGGTCTGGAGGTTTTAAAGTGCTATATAAATAAAGTTGGATTGGATTTAAGAAGTAAAAAATACACTATATGAAAGCTCTTTTTTTTAAGGTGGCGTTGGCTGATTTTCACACTTCTTTTTCAATATTTTCAGCCAATTCCACATTTTTTTTATTAAAAATTGAGAAATTCGAAAGCATTAAAGAGGATGAAGTTAATATCAAGACAGCCATTGTGCCACGTTATATTCTAATACAAAACGCTTCGATCTGTTGATTTCAGAAGGTAAAATAAAGTGCAACCGACAAACATTTGAAATATAGATTTCTTTCTATAACAAAACTAGATATTCACAAGTCATTTGTCTTTTTGTTTTAAACGGGACCTATCATGCAAAATGCACTTGTTGATGTCTTTTATACATAAATATGTGTCCCCGGTGTGTCAGGGAACTCACGCAGCGTCAGAAAATAAAACCTCTTTTCCTCCTCCGTACCCAAATCTCTAAAAACGGGGCTACAACGGAGCTGATCCAGATTTGCGTCCGATATGACGTAATATCTGAAATGTAGGCTGGCTTTACACCCACGGCCCTATCAGAAACGTTGCTATCAGAAACAATGCCCGACTGTTTTGGACGTAATATGGTCGGTGTTTACATTAGCATCGCTAACACTCAGAGCTAACCTGTACTGGAGAGCATGTGTGTGAAGAAGCAGGAAATAAAAAGGACCACCTTGTGGTATAACCGGCAAGAGAGAAAGCCTTTGAGCTCCATACTGTTTCAGAAATAATCCTTGATAATCCATGATATGGCGTTTCATCACGCAGAATTTAGTTTAGACAGTAGCTGCCGGGTCCCGCATGAGCTCAGCCCCCTCCTTTTTTATTTTATCAATTATTTATTTTTTATACCCCAAATCAGCACTTTTGAAACAGGAAGTGAAATGGAGGGATATGATGCATGGCTAGAATGGGTGATCTGTTTGGTATTTTGAGCAAAACACTTCATAGACATGTTTTTTATATATTTTTATATATCTGAAACCTATATGCTATTGCCTAAAAATAGCATGATAGGTGACCTTTAATAATCTTTCTCCTTCAAATGAATTGCTAAGGCTTTTTTCTCAACGTTTACTAGTATTTGTTAGCTTTAAGTACATTTATGACATGATATTGTAAGCTCTGGTCTATTTGGTCAAAACATTTATTAAACATCAAATCTAATATCAGTGAAAGAAAACCAATTAATTTAGCTTAAATCAGCGCTCTAATTGAGATACTAAAACAATGAGCCACATTAACAGATGTTCTTAGAAATGTATTCCTTTTCTTCAGCATCAAACTATTTTGAAACTGGACTTCAAACATAAAATGGAGTGTAATTTAACACTCGACTCATCAGAGCAGACTTACGAGGGTGCTCTCTGTTAATGTGGTTTATAATGGCATGGATTCCTCTCGATAAAGGTCTGTTAAATTGAAGTGAGACGTGCCCCTACTTTTAAAATCCCAATCAGAGGCCGTTCACTAAGCTCGAGGAATTAATTCCAGGCTGAATTGAAAAAGTCTTTGCGGTTCAACTTGGGAATAATGGACCACTTACGATTTTCAGCCTCGCTACGCTGGTTTTATTAGAGCTGGTAATAAGATATTGGAAATCGGACATGTGGGTCATTTCGAGCTCTGGTCCGATTGCCTCACCTCTCAGCAGAGATTTAGTTCCCACGCATGAGCAATCAGACAAATGAATCAGTCTTGTGTGAACCGGCGGCGTTTAATGACGCCTTCTTGATTTTCTGCTCGTCCTTTGTCACACATTTGGCTTCAGATCTGAACGTATGTGTCCGTACATGTGGGACTGAGTGTGTCATTGTGTGTTTTAACCTTCAAGTGTCACATGTTGTAAAGCAGAATTTTTTGTTTTCATGCACATCACTCCAATTGGATTTAACTGGAATTGATTTGAAGAAAATTCCCCCAAGGAGTTTCCTACACATTCCACAGATTTGACACATCAATATGAGCACTGTAGTCTTTGGTCATACCACTACGTCTGTAAAATCAGTTATTATAATGTCTTTGGTTGCTCTGAAGAAATATAAAAATAACCCTTTTGAAAGGGCGCTATTAAGCTTTTCGTGGTTTTCCTTTATTTAGAGTGTTATATAGATTTTGTGCATGTCAATGGTCTGCTAAGGCTAAAATCCCAAAGTTCCCTCCAGTTTCTTTCCAACAGAAAATGAGGTTCTACTACTCTCTGCTTAAAAGAGAATTTGCGCTTTTTCTGGTCTTTGATTCAAGATTCAAGGCTTTTATTGTCATTCGTACATAGCTGCAGTGTAGTTATGTCAATGAAAATCTTAGGTCACAGGCTCCTCCAACAGTGCAACACAATAAAACAGATACAATAGTGCAAGTAAATACAATAAAATAGAATAGAAGATTGACATTTTTAGCGAAATTAGTCATTGTGTCGTGAAAGCATTGAGTTTTACCAGAGAAAACCACAAATATAAACTGGAAACACCCAGCTCATTAGCTGCTTGTTTTCATATGCAATATCTCTATTGGCACTGCACTCCCAAAACCAATGAAACACACACACACACACACACACACACACACACACACACACACACCACACACACACACACGCGCACACACGCAAAGCGCTTGGGGCCGACTCGGGAAAAGTAAAGCCAGTCTAAGGCAAGAGCAACATTAATGTTCAGTTGCAGCCAGATAGAAGAAGGGAAGTTGGATAATAAGCGTAAACGTCACAGTCCATGGGAAAAGCCGTCGGGTTATTCTTGGTAAAGATGAGGGGATGGTGTGTCTTGATGTTCATGTAGGAGATGAAGGTGTAGATATATCCAGTGAGTTTTTAATCAGTGTCTTTCTCTCTTCTCCTGCCATAAAGGTATCACCAGGAAAACCCCCGCACTCCTCTGTCAGATCTTCAGGGCACCAACGCTCTGAACGAGAAGGCCAGCTGGTGAGTACCAACCAAAAAGTGTCATCATAGTTGAGTAAAAAAACAGATCAAGGACGTGGAGGGGTTGGTTTCTTGTCTTCAGTGCGTTGTAAGGTACTTGGGAAGTCTTCTTTAAAAACAAGGACAAATGATGGGGTAGATAAGGGGGAGATGGGAGACTAGCTGGGGGTCAGAGGAATTTCCAAAAGTCAAAGTCAACTTTATTGTCAATCTTTCAGTTTGTGTGTACAGACAGAGATCAGAATACCGCTTCCCACAATATATAAAAATATGTATATCCTATATATACACAATCAACAGACACTTTATACATTGCCCTCCTCCCCCCTACAGGGACAGCTTCGGTTAACGGTCGCAGCTCCAGGTCTGGTCGTGTTTCCTCGACGGAAGTCCCGCCCTGGAAGAAGAAGGCATCTTCATCAACTCGACCAGCAGCAAACTCCTGGAGGAGCTCAGGGCATCCTACTGTGAGTCTCACACACACAACACACAACACACACACCACACACACACACACACACACACAACACACACACACACACACACACACACCCACACACACACACACACACACCACACCACACACACACACACACACACCCACACACCACACACACACACACACACACCCACACACACACCCACACACACACACACCCACACACCACTTACCATTATACATCACTTCAGGGGATATTACATTACTTACATGCATTTCCTGGAGACTTATTCT